TGACTCCAATACTTGGATCATCTCTGGGTCTGTTTCTATTGACTATTTTATTTCTTAGTTAAGTCCCATTTTCCTGCTTTTTCACCTGTCTAGTAATTTTTAACAAAAATTTTATGTTGGACATTATGTAGGACATGTAGAGATTCCTGATTACCATCTTCCTCTAAAGAATGATGAGTGAGTTTCACTCTGGCAGGCGGCAGAATGATTATATTATTATTATTATTATTATTATTATTATTATTATATTATTATATACCATATTATTCCTGTGCAGGTGAAGTTCAGGTTTGCCTCAGTCCCAGAGCTTGACTTTACTCCTAAAGCGTGGTCCTTGCTCCTAGGCCTTGGCCGTTCAGTGGTGTCAGCTGAGTTCCCAGAGCCTTCTCCATGGACTCTGAAGTTTGGCTCAGCCAGAGCTCTGCCATCTTCAGAGCAGAGTGTGACCTCTGAAACCTCTTTAGCAGTTGACCCCCAGCTGTTGTTCTCTGCTAGGTCTCAGAGAGTCTTGCACTGGGCTTTCCAGCCTATGATTCAGCCAAGGACCCTAGGGGTATTTCTAAGATAGTGTCTGGGTTTCTTCTCTGCAGCTCTCTTCTTTGTTACCTTGCCCCACAAACCCCAGCTGTCAAAGCAGCACTGAGCTCCAGTCTCTGATTCTCCCACCTAGCAGGGCTACCATGTTCAGCTTGGGCTCTATTTCCCTGAACTGTGGTTTGTAAAATGTTCCAGAGAGAAACCCGGGAGAACGTGGAGCTCACCTTGTTGTGCGTCCTTTTTCTTAAGGACCATGGCCCTGCATTGTTTGACCTTCAATGCCTGCAAAGAATTGCTTTTACATATTTCCTCCAGATTTTATAGTTATCTGATCCCAGCTTATCAGACCTGGTAGGAACTAGAACTCTGAGGAGGTGACTATCAAGCTGAAAATGTCAAGGTTCGAAAGGAGCAGCAGATGAGCATTCCAGGCAGAGGGAGAAGCGAGTGGCCAGGCCCTGAGGGGGAAATTAACCTGGCTTGTTGAAAACAGAAACAGTAGCCAGCATCGCTGGTTCATGTGGACGAGAGCGAGGTGTGGTATGAGATGAGGTTGCAAAAGTTGTCATGAGACAGATGTCAGTAGGCCCTGGGTAGGATCATTTCTAAATGCACTGGGCAGCTATGGGAGGGCTTTAAGCCGGAGAGCAACATGATTCAATTTCTATTGTAAAAAAATCACTGCCTACTGTGAGGAAAAGGGGCAGGAGGATACAGGGAAAAGAGTCAAGAGGATTTTGCAGTCGTATCAGCAAGAGATGACACTAGATTGGAAGAATTTGGAATTAAAAGAAGAGAGGGCTCCAGGCAAAAACTAGAGTTGGAATCAATGGGGTTTGTTGATGGACAGGAGGCAGAGGGTGAAGAAGGCTTCTCTGTTCCCGCATCCTGAGTCACAAACCTGCTCATGTTTTGATTTGGCTTGAAACACTTCTGTGCCTTCTTATCACCCGTGGTACAAAATCCAGATGCCTTTTGGTGAGTTGTAATGTGGCCTCTTGGGAACGTCAGCTGTTGCTGTTTACATCCCCACCTTGAATGTCCCCACCGTCTACACTCCTATATCCTTGACCCGCCCCTCCCTCTACCCCCAGCTTTCCCTAGGGAACTGCCGCTTATTCTCTTGGTCTCATTTTTGGGGTGCATCTCCTCCAAATGCCCCAGGTTGAATTCAGGGCAGAGGTGACTCATGCACATCTCTCCCCAAGTCTGAGTTCAGTGATGCCATTTTGGTAGCTGGCACTTGACCGTGGTGAGTGTTTACACCCTAGAAATCGCCAATTGCTACTAATTCACATGCTCCTCCGTCACCTTGCAGAATGGTTGTCACACATTCGCCACATCTCCCTCTGGTGGCAGTGGGGATGGCAG